CGCAATCTTTGCTTTGATAATGTCCTCAATGACAGTATCATCCATGACGGATGACGTGCTATGGTTATCCTCCCGTTTCAACCCTACCACTCTTGTAGCCTAATCATTTTGCGACTTCTTGCCCATTACTCCGACAAATAATTCCTTTCCCTCTCTAAATTTCCTACCGGTGGCAGCGAGAGAAGACTTACAAATTGTAGGACAGCCCAAGTCACTCCATTCACAAGGAAATGTTTGCTCGCCACAAGCTTGCGGAGCTTTATAACGCTGTACAGTAGGCGCTTCACATTGTATTGCATATGAGCGGATTCGTGGCATCGTGACACAGATGGACCATATCTTATAGTATCCGAGTCTGGTGCATCTACTCGCGACAAACAGTCAGCGATTTCCACAGTCTCCCCCTTTAGACAGAAATTACTCTAAAAACAATCTTTGAAGACCCAGTATACATTTGTAATAATCCGTCCACAGCGGGTGATTGCGAAACACAATCTCCCACTCCTGTCTCATCAAAACCACACTCTGAAAAATGTGGATGAGCATCTTTTGAGCTTAGCTCAAACCACGTTACAATATTGTTGCCAATGATCATAAGTCTGACCCATAGACTTATGAACGCCTTACGGTTTAGGTATTGCAGGATCGTGTTCGTGCCAAACACGCTTTTGTCTCTAGCAAGATGATGTTCGTGCCTTGTCGAAAATTCACGAGGAGGCTATGGGTGGCAACTACTTATTTTGACCTAAAGCCGACCCTAGAATTAAGGGGTTTCCGCCATGCTATAGCTCGGATTGTGTTTCCAGTCCCATCCAAGACATAAAATCGATCAAAGTCTTCAAGCGTCACAGAAAAATTTGGAAGAGCTTTCGACGTTCTACCACCATTCCCGTCGCTAGTTCCATCGGTGCTTTATTCTAAATTGGCTTCGCCAATACCTTCACACCATGTATGTGCTTATCGACGGACAGTTGCTCTTTATACATTATTGTACAACAGCTTGAAATTTCGGGCGTTAATATAGGAATAATTGACCCATGGTACAACAGTTTGAAATTTTGGGCGTTAATGTAGGAATAATTAACCCATGGCAGTGTACTCCATCTCTGTTCGAAAGAGACGCTATCATCAAGGTTAAGCTAATTTCCAAAAAAAGTTTTTCGACCCGCCTTGCGCTTCTAGGTTTCGGCATCCTCCCACGATCAATTCTACGTCTGGAGACTAACCTTCGCACCTATCAGCCGAGATTAGGGAACACGCATGGCGCAAATGTTAGTACCAAAAATTCACGACTACCACAGTGCAGCTTAGCAGGCTAAAAATCAATCTTTTCTTGTCAGCTAGCTTGGAGTCCATCACCTTGGCGCGCTAGTAAAGCCTCTGCATGTCACCCTTTAATTGTTCTTAGGGGCACGAGAGCTGTGCTTCGCAATCAATGCGGTGCCCACGGCATCCTCAAAAGAGGCAGTGTAGAGGCGAAAGTTTTGGAGCAAGCTGTATCATAACGAGGAGAAATGATAGGTGAACACTGTATGGTACAGACACCTTACACTTTTATACTTAAGTGCAATATACAATACTATACAATCATACAAATTACGTTTAGTGTAGTTATGAATATATGTACCGCATGAAGATGCTGGGACTGCGTTAAGACGAGACCCGTGACACACGTGGGCTGCAGTACGCACGTTATGTAAATATGAGATACGTTTTTTATTAGCCTGAATAGAACTTATTCCAAATGTAAGTATGTTTGAACAAGTTGACCTTCATATGTATATAGTAACTTTAGAGCACAGCGTACGAGCCAGTCTTGAGAGCATATATCTTCGAGTCATTGCTTCCTCTGGGCAAGTGGCATGGCAATTTCGCTGTAAAATCTCCAAAAGAAGCACATTTCTTATCGACGGGAATTTTGGTAGCACGCTGAACGCCTGGTTTGGTGTTGCGAAGGCTCGCGGCATTGTTGCTTCTAGGCTCCAGGTAAGAAATGCGTCATCAGCAGCGGTGTTGCACGTATGTGCATTATCGCGTGTGGTCTACTGATTTGTAGACCGCTTTCGCGACGCTATGTTGCGCCGTTCTGAACTAATGACCATCTAAATATGTTTCACCTAGAGATAATCTATCTGTTCTATTAATGGGGTTCGAGACACTGTGCGAGGTGGCACCATTGTGAGAGTCGGTTGTGTCTCAAATTACACCCGGCTGTGGTGTTCCTAGTAGTACATCATTGGCAAAATATCAGAGCTGGTGAGTGCCCCCAGACGGGCGATAACAACTAACGGCCCTTCGGTTTCCAGCGATGCTATTAGTCAAAGCCACCTTGAGTCAGGAGCTTGCGAAGCGAGTCTTGTTGTCCGAGGAAATATAGGTCGGCGTATCACGTTTATTAATTAGTATTTTTCTAAAAGCGGTCGCCGATAAAGTGAAAGGTACCAGATGCACCGAGGGTGCTGTGCTCCTCACCAAAAGTAAGCTATAACTTTTAGTCCTAACCGAACACCCCGCTCGACACGGAATGACCGTTAAGCATAAAGAAAGAATTGACTGCACGAGTTTCGTACCCCGTGACTTTTTTCTATCGGCGGAAAGTGCTGTAACACTACGCCTTGGAACGTACGGCGACCATCAAGCCGGACCTGTCTCGCGGACCCCAGCTTGCTGTAGCAAGCGCAAGTGTAGTGATGACTCTTAATTACGTTATTCCATGATGGTTACGGTTTCAAACCGTTTAAAATTGCTCACTGGGTTAATGCGACGCTCTTACCCGCCAATGTATGCATGCCTTGACTTATATTAAGAGCGAAATGAGCGCGAGAAATCGGCTTTGAGAGGGCATTTTCAACCTACAGACAATCATTTCTTCTAGAGAAAGCTGAATTGAAAGCAGCAAAAGTTGGACAAATCCGTAGGGATGAATCTTAGGTACTAAAAGCGAGCGAAAGAGCTGCTGACTCTCAGTTCCAGTATGGGCATTGGTTGAGAAAACCATACCGCTTCTCCCGTCTTAGGCCATACAGCCGGAATTGGATGAGAGGATATCATGGTGATAGCTTATAACATCAAGCTCCTGATGTTAGCAGCCTCACACGTCTTCATACGACAGTTATAACACCTATCGACCAAGAACTATACTCACCGCAAATTTTGCTGACACCAAATAGTGGGAAGCGCATGACGACGGAGACAGTACCCTCTTTTCCTGGGTGTTACAGGCCGAGAGTGCGATGGGTCAAAAGGGGCCAATCTTGCAGAAGGGGAACCTCAACTTCTAACGAGTTTCATCAGCTAAGGATACCCCTTCCACCTTACCAGGTACTGCAAACAGCCTTGATGTCTCTGCCAACTCACCAAACACTTTTCTAGAAAAAAATTAACTCCTTGCTCATTGGTAGTACCGGCGGAGGTCGACTGTCCAATGGCTGACTCGTCTAGGCGGGACGTGGACTAAATCCGAGAGTCTCGGTCTACATTCAAAGGTGAGGTAAGCTGGATCTTAGATTTTCTTTTAAATTTTGCCATTGCACTGCGTAGCTTGACGCACTTCAGCATTTCAAAGCCGCGTTGCTGCTTTAGGGCAGAAAAAAGAACATTTACAAAGAATATTATGAATTTAGCTCCGCCTTTAACAGGTCCTTCAGCTCTGAGTGACTAAAAACGAAATTATAGTATGGATTGCGTTAGCCTACATAGTACCTGGATTTGATTGCGCTCTTCATAGAAAGTCAGAGTTAAAATACCATTTGTGCACAAATCAAGTGGTCCGATATTGCGCGGTCGCAACTTAGACTAACATACCGCAGACACTGCAAGTGTAGGCTTCAAATTGCACGTAATATAATTTGCTACCTCATCAAGTTTACTTTGCCAGCCTATGGCATCGATGATTTAATTTGATCATCTTGACTCTAAGCCATAGTTCCGCGCACCATACCCACAACCCTCAAACTTATTTAGGAAAAAATAACAACGAAATGTAACTGGCTGATATCGACAAGTTGATTTTGATCTACAGCCTCTTCCCACTAAGAAAAAGCCACTTCTCGGCGGTGCTAACGGTACCGGGATTCACCAAAGCAATTACGTAAATGCAGGAATTCTCTAACGAAGAAACCTGCATTATTCAGTGAAAACTCGATGAGTGAGAGTAGCTCGCCTCGGCACCGCGGTCCCTCCGAGTGCTCCAGAGAACTATTTATCTAAAGAAGGTAAGCGTTGAAAGATTAATATGGCGTTGATCACCTTGTACGACAAGGTTTCTTATTATATACGATACCGAAAAGCCATGTTGGCGCAAAAATTTGTGGAGGAACAGCACACTTTTACCAATAACATTATTGCTAACAGCAACGACATGAGCCATCTCACAAAAGCGATAAACTACGAACACAAAGCCGATATTACCGTACACGTTCTTTGTGAGCTCAAGATACTTTTCTTTCTTCTGGACTGCACTATGCCAGAGTTGCTAGGCTGGCCAAATATATTCACGGATGCTATGAAGGTGTAACCCGTTAGCATATTTCATACGTTCGTACATACATCCTTGCCACTTCTACATATGGATTAACAATACATCGCGCTACTGAACTTCTATCCTGAGGCGGCAACTCAAACCGATATTATCTAACTCATACTGTACTTTAGGTCCTTGTATTTTCGATGAGACATAGCGGTACAGGCGTACAGCCGTGCACCTAGACGAAGAAGTATTTGCTTTCAAACTCTTGCTTTACAAAGCTCTCAGAAGCGCAACACATGTTGTGTATGAGTTATACGCTGTATAAATTGCCTTATCAAAAAAATATGGCTATGTCGCCATTGTGACAAATGACATTTTATATCGGGCGACGCAAAAGCGCAATCGTTATCACATTAAGCCGACCCAGCTTATACCTCCTTTAAAGGTAAACTCCCTGATGACGGAAGGCCATATCGTCATTCTTTGGGAGAAATGAGGTAACGACATCACTGTGCGCATTGTTGGCACCCTGAACTAGGCGAGAAAATTCATTGCAAGTGAGACCTTCTGATGTAATGGTAATTCTTCATCACAGCGTGTCAAAAGATGAGACCCAAACGCGATCATGTTTTTATGTCTATTGGCGTCGACTTAGCGCAGCCTGTCGCGAAGGCTGAAGTATCACAGAGAGCGTGGAATTGCTGATTTGGATTCGGGAGAGCCGGATTCGGAACACGCTGCAGTAGTATCTTGTCGAAGTAAAATACTTATACAGTAGCGTTCCAAACTCGGAAACGAAACTTGTTTAGAATAGGTACGGACTCGGTTATGGTTCTCATAAACACTACATTTCTCGGCAAGAATGAGGATGATGTGAATCCGTTCAGAAGTGATTAGTGCGACATCCTTCGCTGGTCTAATTCTAGAGCTTGTAAACCTCTTCTGGCAGAGGCTCTTACAGAGTGAATAAATTATTTCATGGAGGATTTGAGCACGATGGTGAGATTCCCGGAGTGATTCAGTTTAAAGTGGAATGAGGGTGAAGCTCGTCATCCGTCATGGATCAATTTCCCACTGGACACTCGCAGAGCATTGAGTACGAAGTGGAAAAGCTACGCTCAAGAATCCGTAGGATACGTTTGGTCAAGAAACATCACGACGTGGTAACGAGAGATCCACCAAGTGTGTTACTTCCGGCACTAAATTAGTCCTAATTGCATGACATGTAACGTGGGGTTTCACTCACCCTGGTTTACAGGAGTGACTCACACAAGATGGTGGCACCGTAAAAAGGTATGGATTACACAGCTCGTTGTATTTAGATAATGGTGTGGCTAAACCACAACAAGAAGCCACTACGTGGCGGGACTGCCAGTAATAATTAGGTTTTTCTATTTAATTTGCAAATAATCTAAGATTCTAGATATAGGTGGCTCTGCCGCAAATTAAACAAATAAAAAATACAGTGTTATTCTGAACGGAAGAGTACAATTTTCTTGGGCTAAGTTTTCGGGTACTAGCGGATCGCGATCCCCAACACTCGTACTGGTTCTAGTATAGAACGAAAGTCGGTGACCTTAAGTAAGCTTCCTCCAAGCAAAGAGCTACCGCAGCCCTGCGGCAACATGACATTGACCATTAGTGTGACACCATTGAATGACGCTCGCGTCCGTGCGAAGCACGAACCGTGTTACTTGGGAAAGTAGAGTTTGTCCTTTAGCGCCGACTTTCCGTGTCAGTAACGCTAACGGTGAGGGGCAAATTATGCGTATTTATAAAACGCTAGATACAACCACAATGCAGGCGCGACAAATTCTTATATAGGATGTGCTACAGAATAGCGTGGTCAGCAGTACCTATACTGCACTTGATCTAGTTGACGGTCATTATCACCTACTGATGAACGAAGGCGACATCCCTCACTGCGATGTTCGAGGAGTGACTAATTATCCCACATGTTTGTCTCATGCGTCAGCAACTTTTGTTAGTATGGTGATAGAGATATTCAGGCCACATCGTGCCTATGTTCAACTAGTTTGACGATAATCAACCCATAGCCGTGCTGAGCACAGGAAGTTGCGTGCGAAACACACCAAGTACTTGCGCACAGCTCTCCGGTTAATGCCCTTAATAAGCTATTACCTAACAGGGACAGGTGTGCTTTTGTCGCCGATGAAGTAAACCCTTTCTCGGCTGCTTCATTATGCAAGGCCTGTCGGTAGATCCCACAAAGAAAAGATGAAAATTTGCCAGTTCCTCTACCCAAATATTTGAGGAATTGACCTGGCCAACTCTTTCACAACTTACATCGCAGCCAATGCCGACATGGCACGACTCCTCACCAATCTTATTTTAACAAATGTCAAATTGTGTTGGGGCGCGGAAAAAGAATTAGCCGGTAAACTATGAAAGAAAGCCTTATGCGCTTCGATCTTTGTATGAAAGATAAAACAATTTGGTAAAGCTTGGATGGCCAATAGATTTATATTCTCGTAGCTCATGTCTTAGATCATTCGTCTACAGCTCTGTAGTCCTTGTGCGCTACAAAAAATGAATATTCCAGATGAAGGTTCGCTCGAATGTGGTCGCCAATTTGAACGAGTAAAACTTTGGTTCTGAATAAATTCATAAGATTAACAAAAAAAACCGTATAAATATCCACAAATGTCAGATAATTCACGTTTTCCGCCTCGATATTTGACAACGATATCTAGCGAAATTCCAAAACGCTTATAATCGCCAAAGAAATTACTGAACTTATAGAGCAGCTGGTGGAAAACTATACTTGCAAGAGTTGGTGATAATTTTTTTTAGCTATCAAGAGAAGAGGTCCTTCAGCACAAATAAATGCGTGCACTTACTCATCGGCTCGACAATGGAACAGATGTCTGAATATAGCTCTATCAAAAAATATGAGAAGCAGTTTCGAGCGCTAACCTCGGTGAACGCTGCACTTCTGTTGTCAAAGTCCTGATATTATGAGGCGCTCAACGCCGTCTTCCCTTGTAGCTTCATTCTCGACCAAAGCTGCTTTCTATTACGCTATCAGCACTTCACGTACCCGCGCCTCAAATTCTATACGTCTTTGGACTGTGCATCGCTTCTTTTTTCAACGGCCACGACACATTTTCTGATTCGTTCAGGAAAGACTCTGTCAATTGTTTGAGTCACCAGCTTAGAACGAATAAGACATCAGAATGCTGCCTTTCGGCCATACAAAGAATTTAGGCCACATTCGAACGCCTAGAGGAGTCAAAATGCCGCGCTTGCTTATCGGAAGCCTGCACTATTGACGAAAACTAGTGGAGTTGATTGGATGAAAATTGAGCAAAGTTGGTCGAGAGACCATTGCGCAGTTTGGAATGCATTGGCAAGATTTACGCCTACTTTTGATTTAGATCGCTTGTGAAGAATCTCAAGCCGAACGAAAAAAGATTTCTGAAACCTGTGTCTACGTCGATTTTAAACGTTGCATTTCGCGGTCTCAGTGTCATAAACAAATTTTTAACGATCAATTCGAAATTAAATGAGTGCGCTTCAAAGATTTCTTTCATTTTACAGCATTGACAGGACGGAAAGTGGCATCACATCACATTGTACGAAAATGAAATGTATTTATAGTGCCATCGGCGAACTATTACACACTGGTCATTGTTCGCAATAAAGCTATTCAAAATTCACGCAGCGTATTGTCTGTTGGTATAAGTACTATTTACAACTGACTCAACTGTGTTGATCCAATTCATTATTTATGATGAACAAATAAGTATATGGACATCACTTGAATCAAGAAAAGTAAAATCACTCTCCCATCAAAAGCCACCATTGAGCTTTAGCTCCGCGAGATCGTGAGCAATTTTTTCGGCAGATAGCGCTGGGTTCTCCAAGACTAATACGTGCGAGTTGCCTTCCATAGGTTCACGTACCTTGTACAAGTGCGGCAATTTGCTCTCCAGCGCATTGAAACGATCTCCAAACCATAACTTTGAGCGGGTTCCCCAATGAAAAGTGATAGGACACTTAGGCTGTTGCAGTTCGTCGTCTGTCAGCCACAACGGCGGCTGGCAATATAAAGACGCCTCGATGTTCGGGTGACAAGCAAGGGTGACAGTTCCGTCCTCTTCCTCCACAAGACCACCTTTCATGTATCCTGCAAGCGTTTCGCGATCCCATTTGGCAAAATTTTTCAAGTTGTAAAAATACTCTTCAGCAGCAGCACGAGAAGGCCAAGACGCCTGCCGCTTGAGTGTCAGGCTGACTAAAAAATCGATTAAATAGTCATTTTCCGGCGCGTTTTGGATCAATACAGGCTCGAACAGAATGAGACCATCAAAAGTGCCTGGATGCGCGACTTCAGTGGCCCAAAGTCCCTCAGACCCCATCGAATGACCAATACCAATGAGTTTGTGTTTCTCCCTTCCTCCCGAATTCTCACACATGATTATGTCTTTCCATTTCGTCACTTGCTCCTGCACAGCAGCAATCGTCCATTTAATAAGATCGTGTTTTTCATTCCACACTCGTGGCGCATTTGGTTTGCTCAGATCCACTTTGAGCATCTCTTTTGCAGCTGGGTCGCGCTTTGAACCATGATATGGAAAGTCAAAGGTGACAAATTCCGTTTCCACATTTTGCCCAGCTTGAGACTCCTTGAGCCGACGAATGATTGGATCCCAAGTTTCCTTGCAAAACCCACCGCCATGGGCGAACAACAGTGTCACCTTGGTCGTGCTTGGCATAAGTGATACTGATCTGCCAACACTTCGATTTTTTTTAATGAATGTGCTTGAAGTATGAAAAATTGCATGCGTGTAAGTGTATCTTGAGGCGTCACAGATCCTTTAAAGTGACGTCATCATGAATATCTGGTCTCGACCTCAGCTGATTTTTCTTGGTATAGCATTACCCGACACTGTTGTACATGTATGTTGTTAAGCTCGGGAAGACCGTGAGATTTGCATCTCGTGATGATGCAAGGCTATCATTTAAAAAATCAGTGACAGCCCTTTTCATCTTCGAATTCGTTTTTATCGAAAAGCTTTTCGCGACTTTTCTGCAGGCATCTTAGATGATTTGCAGCGACCCCAAATTATCATGCAGCAAAATGAAGATTTTCGGATCTACCAACTCTGTCGCTCTGCAACACTGTTTATTGAAGTGATTCACAACTTCGAATGCTTGTGATAAGTAGCTGCTTCTGGGTAAAACGTTATCGTCAATCACTTCTGATATTTAGTTTCTGAAACAGCATGAATGGCAATCTATCTTTCTATCTGTGTGATATAGACTATAAAAATCACGGAGTCTTTTCTGCAACGCTGACCTAAAATAACCGTTCGAAATTATAGCCAGAAGGAGCTTGTACTTCTCCTGACGTGCCGCATCAAAGTAATTCTTATATGATGCTGAAAAGTATAGAAGATGTTTACACCCCAAACATAATGTCCTTACGAATCTCAGCAATGCTGGATGATCAGCAAACTGATCCTGCATCTACAAGCAAGCATCATTTTAATTCTAATCTTTACAAATCAATTGCGAAGTAATTCAGTTGACACGAAAACAATTTTAACTCAATGTTTCGAATCAATTGTTGTAGACGCCTTTATCCCTTGCAGTCTGTCAATGGTAAGCAAGTCGTGGTGGATAAGATGTTTGACAGACTTGATATTCACTTTAATCGCATTGTCCTGGCGAGTCAAGACGACCATACCATCATTTGATCCTATACTCTTGATAGTCTGATTGCACTTTTTAGAAATCGAGCCTACGGACTTCTCTGGGCCGCCTTGATTGCCGACCTGACAATGTACAGAATTTTTATGAAAGCATCCGACAACTACGAGATGCCTTGTTGTAAACCGAGTCGAGGACGATTGCTATGCAGAGAAAATCCTCATTGTGATGTCGCGAGTTCGCCGTAATCTGATGATTGGCAAGTGCAACGTAAGCTGTGGATAAATCAGAGGTCTATCTTGGTAATCCGTCAATATATGGATTAATGGTGTATCACACTGATGCAATAAATTGTAGGAGCCATTGCAAAAAATAAGAAGATTACAACTTCTAGAATGAATTAAATCAAATTTCTCTTACAGTTGAATCGCTTTCAGTTAACAGAAAAGTGACGCTAAATATGTACTAAATAGATTACAAAGGTCCAATGATTGAAAAATAGCTGAGCTCAATGGTACCTTGTGGCGGTCAAGATCAATCAGTTCTACTCAGCCACAAAGACCGATTGACACTCCCTAGCAGAGAGCATCTAGCCCGAATTGCTGGTAGTTTGAGGCTTTGTCCGGGAAAAGAAGCGGTTCTGCGCATAAACATGTTAAGTAGAACAGCCGTTTATGATTGATACTGGATAGCAAATCGTAGTAAGTACTGAAAATAAAAGGTAGTACAAGTGCGAGTGACCATCAAGAAAAATATGCCGGAAAATACTACCTTTAGTTGCAAAGCATGCTAATGTAGATAAGATCGATCTCATGATTTTACTTCTGCTTGTACTTCCTCTTCAACAGGTGCAACTTCTACCGCTATCCCACCCGAAGCGCGTACTGTTCCGAAAAGCCCAATTGTGTTCATATATTGGAGCCGTCAAAATGCTGTTTTTATTTTACTTGACACTCAAGTGGTCACACATCATAATCAACAAATTAAACTGGCGAATGCTACAACAGGACGAAAAAAATCAACTTATCTGCGTGATAATAATATAAATATTTGAGGAGAGGGTTTGACTTCCTCCGTAATATTGGTAAGGTTCACACCCATTATTTCAATGCGCTATAATGGAAATAATAAGACCAGCAGTACAACCATGTTTTCCTCAATAATATGCATAAAGTCGTACTTCGCGAAGTTCTCATTTTCCTCAAGTCGTCTATCATGCAATATATAGCAAATCACATACTCATGAGCCGAACAGTCGAGATGCAAGGCTAGGATGTAAACCTCGTCATATTCTAGAACGGGTGGCGTGATAGGGACGTGATACTGAATGCCTCAGCTGTATCTTAAAGTGGTGGTGACATTTTAATCTTGGTGCACTCGAAGATTTTTTGGTTAAGCGGCCGCCTTCGTGCTTTAATACAATTTTTCTAGCTGGGAAAGTATTGTCCAATCAGTAGATAAAAACATTCATTTTCATGGCTCAGGTGGCTAATGGTATGCGTCAGCCGTTGCTACAGCTGCTCCGCGGCCCGAGTGGAAAGCTGTGGGAGGTTTGTATCGGTCTGGAGGTGCATGCACAAATACTGAGTAACTCTAAGCTCATGAGTGGAGCTGCTGCAGCAACACTGTCGTCTGCACGACCCAATCGCAACGTGAGTTTTTTCGACGCAGCACTGCCAGGCACACTGCCAGTAATTAACCGCGAATGCGTGCACCAAGCCATCCGCACGGGATTAGCACTGGATGCTACAATTCATATGCGAAGCCTTTTCGAGCGTAAGCACTATTTTTACTGCGATCTGCCGTTAGGATATCAACTGACCCAACAAAGGGCACCAGTAGCATCCGGAGGTGTGCTGCACTTTGAGTTGCCAGCTTCGTCTGTGGTGAGTGAACACGGTGATTCACAGAGTCAAGACGTGACCACATTTGATGCATCTAAATACAAATCGAGAAAGGAAAAAAATGAGGCGCTCAAGCAGTGGAAAGCAAAGCAGACAAAAATGCAGCAGCAGGTGGAGAATTTAGCACATGATTATGACTTGATGCAAGAGGTATTAATTAAAAATCTGGATTGCTTAGGAGATGATTTCAAGATGTGTACGGATCACACGGATTCAGATTGAGCAGGATTCAGGTACCTCATGTTGGGAGTGAAATGATGGTAGCTGAGTTCTAACAGTTTAGTGTCGTGATTGTTACAGGCAAAAGTAACCATGACTTGGAGAAAGACAGTACGGTAGTGGACTTGAATCGTGCTGGTACAGCGTTGTTAGAAATTGTTTTGGAGCCAGATCTGCGTAGTCCTCTCGAAGCGGGACGAGTCCTTTTCAAGCTGCAACATTTACTGCGTCATTTGGGCGTTTGCGATGGTAATATGGAAGAAGGTTCTATGCGTTGCGATTTGAACGTGAGTGTGCGACCGATTAACCTTGGAGTGGAAGCTGATATCAAGACACTTCACCTCGCGTTGTCTTCGAGCTCGGCGAACTTTTTCGGAGATAGAGTAGAAGTAAAAAATATGAATAGTATTCGTAACCTAATGCGCGCAGCAGAATACGAAGCCAGGAGGCAAATTGCGCTGATTGAAGAGGAAGGTGGTGGGGTGCGTCGTGAGACACGTTCATTTGATGCTGTGACTGGAACTACGGTGAGATTTATATCCTGTTGGAAAGTTTAAGGATTGTTGTCTGACGAGTTTCTTGTACTGTTATAACCAGAAACGTATGCGCTCGAAGGAAGAAGCAAAAGATTACCGTTTTTTCCCAGACCCTGATCTTCCTCCTCTTGTTCTGTCGGTCAAATTAATTCAAAAGATAAGAGCGTCAATGCCCGAGCTTCCTGATAATTTAAAAAACCGATTATGTACCCAATACGATCTCACACCATACGAAAGCTTGGTGCTGGTCAACGAGCCTGACGCAGCACGCTATTTTGAAAATATTGCAAGTAAAAACTCACGACCTGCGAAGATGGTCTCAAATTGGGTGCTGAATGATTTGTTTGGACATTTGAAGGCAGTTAATGGAAACATTGCCAACTGCCCGGTTGCTGCTGCGGAGCTTGGTGCCTTAATTGATCTAATTCAAAACGGCACTATCTCGGGAAAAATTGCCAAGGATGTGCTAGAGGTGATGTTTTATGATAACGAAATGAAGAAGTCGCCACAGCAGATTGTGGATGAGAAAGGCTGGAAGCAAATTCAGGATCCCGACGAGATTCGTGCAATTTGCCGAGCTGTTCTTGATGATCCGGTATTTCGTTGCGTATATTGGTCATTGTATTTATAGTTTGCTGATGTTCTGGCTGATGAATTGTACAGAAAGCGATAACAAATCTTAAAGCGTACTGGAATGGCAAAACTCAACTTTTCAAATTCTTTATTGGTCAGCTGATGAAACAATGTGGTGGCCGCGTCCATCCAGAGCTTGCAAGCACAATGATGCAAGAGATTTTAAATGAACGCAAATAGCAGACAAAGAATAGAGTAGATAGTATGGTAGTGTGCCTCACAATTTAAGATAGTGAATGGAAAGTTGACACTTTTTAAACAGAGGATATACGTCATTGCTTCACAAAACGGTGTAGCAAGCTATTGTAACACTCCATACGTCTGCAGGAGCTTTTTATAAACCAGCGCGAACAATGCTACGACGATGCCAACGGTAAGATAATGCAAAAAGATGTCGACGCTATCCGGTTCACGCGCCTGAGTATTGTTTTGCACAGCAAGTGGAGTGTCGACAGTTTGATGAACATCAAGGACTTCTGGTGCAGCTTCTGTAGCAACAGTCTCAACAGATTCTTGGTTTGTGGGAGCAATGTGCGATGAAATTTCAGCACCTGAAGTGGTCGCTGAAGCCTTCTCTGTCCCTGTTGGCTTTATTTCAATCGGTTGCCTCTCTTTTATAGCTGACTGTTCGGAATCGGCGCTCTCACATTCTTCCTGTTTGCTGATTGCATCAACCATAGTCGTCACATCTTTTTCTTGATCATTCGCTGTAACTGGTGGCGCACTCTCCAAACTGTGCATGTGCAGCTGAGCAATCTGCTCAGCATATTTCGAAGGTTTCTTCGCTGCATCTTCATCAGCATTTGTTGCTCTTAGCTCTGGTAGCAAGTCTAGAACACGTCCACACGTTTCACATGTATAATCGATCGACTGCACACGAATGAAAACCATTATTACCGTCCCTTAAACACTCATATTCTCTCTACTTACCAGCTTCGCCAGTCTTTTGCGCTCAGCAGCAGAGAAGTCTAATGCACCAATAGCACCCTCACCTTTTGTAGGCATAAAGCTGATCAAAGCCTCTAAAATCAGTCGAACACCCCACGCCGGTTGCCACTCTTCCGGGTGATACGCAGATATACTGAGACAAATTTTCTTTCTTACTTCAAAGCGCCCATTAGGCTGTAGATGAGCAATATTGCAGATCAAGAATTCGTAGATACGGGCACCATCCTATCAATTAATTACGTACAGTAAGCAACATTATGTTTGGTGGCTTGAAAGGGTAGTCAGACGGCAGGATGATGCGCCCGTGGTAAACACCGCCTTCAAACTCTGTGTCGCGCGGACCACGTAGCGTAAAGTGCCAGTCGAACATATTCGTCTAAATCATATTTACAACATCGGTCATAGCTACTCGTTCCACAATTTGTGCGCTGCGTACATCGAGTGGGGCCGCGGCGTATTGATCGCTCGGGTTGGTCATCATCTCACGCACATCCTGGAAACCATAGTGAGTGCATGTGCTGCAAGAAAGTACTGATAATATATATTTGATGAGACGTACGCCCTGAATGCGCTTTATAGCCGTGTTGCGCACGCCGGCCGACATACTCGACACGTTTGCGATAAAATTGCGAGAAGATGTACTAATTACCTTCAATTATGTTGATGTATTCAGTCACATCATCGAATATTTTCTAGATATAACATAATTTATTCGGCTCAATATTTTAATTTAGTAGTACTGTACTAAAGACTTTCAATGTATCAAATGTCCAGCTCAATAGGATAATCTTTCAAATCTTGCAAGGTTGATGGTCATGACAACGTGGCGCTACGAACATTTAAAGTGGAGTTCACGAACACTTCTGTTGAACAAGTTAGCTGGTTCAATTCCCGTTGATGAAGCAGCAGTTTTAACACCTTTTCGTATGCATTCGCCAGCCATCGCGTGTTCTTAGGTAAAGAAAGATCCCACGCTTTTAGTGGAAAACCACCAGTCGCCATCGCATTTCAACGCTGGCGATCTTACATCATACAAAAGCTAGACATCGCGTCCTTTCGAGGCATCGCACCTCATTTAGCGGCGCTTTGTAACTGTCGCCAGTCCTAATATAGAAATTCTGGCTACTGTTGTACCGGTATCATATACAGGTTTCGCAACGGTCTTTGGTCTTTCCACCGATTGCAACGGTAGCCCCTTCGATCGAAAAAAACGGATAAAAATAACTCCTGTCCCAAAGTCACATGCAAGACCCACACTATAAAAATAGCTTCAAGCCTCAAGGTCTCCTCCAGCAGCTCGGTATTTCCGGCACTCCTACTTTTGCCGAGATATAAATATCGGCTATATTCGACAGCGCTATTTCTACCAGGTGCGAGCGCTCATTGACGTAATAATGCTTTGAATTTTGAGATTGTTAAAAACGCTTGCAATGATCAGTGACTTCAATATCATGGGCCGCAAAAAAATCCAAATTAAGCGCATTGAAGACGATCGCAATCGTCAGGTGACATTTGCTAAGCGCAAAAATGGTATTTTCAAGAAAGCGATGGAGTTGTCCAAGCTTTGTGATTGCGAGATTGCTCTCATCGTTTTTGACTCGAACGAAAAACTTTACCAATACTCAAGCACTGGAGTCGACCAAATATTACTTAAGTATACAGAGTATGGCGAGCCATACGAGACCAAAGACAACAGCGACGTGAGTTTCTTGTCAATGTGACGTCAGGAAGCACTTGCTGATACAAACATTTTTTTGCAGTATGAAATTATGTTTGGGGAAAAGAAAAAGCAGCTGCAACTAGCGGCAAAAGAGGCAGCCGCGGCAGCAGCAGCGGGAGCTAATGCTGAAGTTTCGATTAACTACAATATGGGCCATGGATCGACTCCAAATGGAGCTGCGTTGCAGTCATTTCAAAACATGCACGGAGGCTTGAATGGTGCCTCGTTGGGACTCACTAACGATCCTGATCAGTACATGCTTAATTCACGTAGCCGTCCACCGACCCAAAAGAAACGGGTTCATCGTGGTTTCCAGCAGCTTTTGAAGAAGGAGCACGCAGGTTACACTCCACCGACACTTCCGCTATACCAACATGGCGTACGTTGCTCTTAGTTTAAGTTGTTAGAATTTGATATTTAATATTTGCTGCAGATGGGAATGCTCGGAGGACTTCCAAGTCACCATATGCTTGCCGCTCTGCCGAGCCCCCCCAACCTTTCAGGTATTCTTCCGTCACCCACCAGTACGTCTTTTAATCACATACCATTCGCAAATCATCGTCTCATGATAAGTTTGAACGAAACAGCTGGTATGCTTCTTCACGACTTTAGTCCCCAGAATGCAGGTCTCTTTGGACACCATCCCATGCTTGGTGGTGGCATGCAAGGTGACTTTCACGACAGCAAAAGCAGTGTGCTTGGTTTGAATTTAGGACCGTCAGATTTTGGCCAAAGCGGTGCTGGCAGTGTACATCCGCAACAATTTCAGCAGTGCAAAGACGCATACTATACTCAAAACAAACAGGCAGATTCGCCGGACAAATCTTTGGTGGACCGTACAATTTCTTCGGTTGGGAATCACGATCCGACATTGGATCAAGAAGCTCCCGATGTTTTAAGTAAACAGGAAAAATTTGCGGAAGAAAGTACAGAACAGCCTCATCAAGACGACGTCTTCAGTAACAGTGAAGATATACAGACAGCTAAGGAAAATGATTGTTCAAAGGAAGTGGCTTTACAGTCAGCATCAACACCAAAGCGTGAAGTGGAAGATCTTAGCCACAATGGTACCAGAGCGTGCTCAAATTCGTCTAAATCCGATATTATTATGACTGCTTCACCTACAAAAGTCGTGCCAACATATGAGTCTCTAGCAACAGTATCCGGATCTCAAGCACAAAGTACAGACAACAACGATAAGCGATCACACTCAGAAGTGTTAAGATCGGCATCCACAAGTCCTCTTAAACGGCAACGTTTGGCTGTGTGAAATGTTATAGTGGTCACGCAACTTCTGCGTATTGCCTAGAAGTGTCATATGCATTTCATTCCTCAAGTTGTTATATTAAAGCGAAATATACCGTATTCGAATATTTTGAGCAATGCAAATATTGTAGATAATAGTACGTGGGAATGTAACTAAGAATGCGGACGCTTCAGCAAATCAACCGTTTGGAAAATCTCGTCAGCAGTGTTTCGCAGCGCAATCCATTGGTCCTTGGAAAGTGAAATGCCCTTCTTTCCTGGTTTTGCCAAGCCGTCTTGATCATAGTACTCACGGAGGTCGATAAGCACAGCATTGTTGAAGTATCGGATGGTAACACGGCGTTTTGGCGAAAGCTGCATCAACATCAATAGCGCCGTATTAGTCGCTAACTCAAATCAAAACTATCGGACTTACGGGTAGCGCGACAGCTCGTAAATCTCCATTTGGCTGAAGAATGCAACCCTCTATGCCAGAAAGTGACTTATTGTCAACTGTATTTTCTTCCACCAGCTTAATTGCTTCGGAAATTGCGTCTAAATAGCCATAAAGCTTCTCCCATTGATCCAGCGAGAGCGAGATGCCTGCACAGACGACCACACAAAAGCACTTGAACATGTGGCGCGATAGACACTAACAAATCAAATTTTGACCTCTCTTGCCGGGTTTGGCTTCACCATTATTATCATAAAATTCGCGAATGTCTACGAACGTCATAGTCTTCCATTTGCGCACCGTGACATGGCGCTTTTTCGACAGCACAAACACCGTACCGCCTTGCTCCATCGTGCTGCTGCTTTCTTGTTCTTGAGCCTTCGGCTGGTTCGTTCGTGACAAAGAATCGCTTTTTGACGATCGCGTGACTTTTTGCTGGGTTGCAAATCTCGCTAACGAATCGGTCGAGTTGTCTGAATTTTGTGACACCGGCATCTGCGGCTCTGTTGTTGCCTTTCGGGAGAGCATCTCTGTTAAAGTGAAACTTTCTTTCACCTCAGCTTTCATGCGCTTAGGCATTTCCTCCATTTGCTCTGCCACGCGCTTGCGCGTCAGTGCCGCTGCTTCTTGCATCATCGACATGTGATCAGGTAATCTTTGAACACCGATAAGCTGTAAAATTTTATCAGACATTATGTTGTACACGTAAAATTAACATTTCCTCCAGGTACTACAAAAATCAATTTGACTTCTCGATTTGCGGCCCTTGCACCACAAATTGAGATCACCCCAATAGAAGCCTCTTCCACTGTACGCAATAGACGCTCCTGAAGCTCTCCCAACCCCGACGGATGCCGCGATGGTCGACATCGCTTCAACTGATGCGGTTGCAATGCCCCTTGAGCAACCTGTTCTTCTTGAACCCGGTGAGCTGCGCCTGAATACGGACAATGAACAACGTGCTTCGGTACCTGACTCTCAGCCAACTATGGAAACCACCGCTGACGCTGCTACTGCTGAGGATGTGGGT